CAGCTGGCATGGCTCGGCTCAGTGTCGACTGGCACAGTCCCGATCGGTCGGCCAGCTCCCTCTGAAATGACCCTGTGGCTAGGAAGCCCAGTGTGGTCAGCACCTGTATGGGCACAGGTAGGACATGGCTCCTGGCCGTGTTGCACTCCAATAATCGCCACAGTTCTACGAGGATTGCCCTCAGGAACCTAAAGCGACTGATGAGCCAGTCGTCATCCTGAGGTCTCTGGAAACTCGTTCTCTTCACACTGCTCCATCTGCAATATCCTCCAACAGTGCCAAAGCTGCCATTGTTGTTAACGGTATCTTCTGCACCATTTTACACATACTTTTATACCCACTCATGTAATTGCAAACACTTCGGTGCGTTAATTGTTTATCTGTGTAGCTCTGATGTGCACATTACTTTGAGGAATGACCTTTTTCACATTATTGACAGTTTCCCAGCATCACCTCTAAGTGTCGCCAACGGCTCAAAAGCAATAGAAACGTGTGTGTGCCAGTCAAGAAGTTGGCTTGGAGGACCGCACATTTCCACAATCATTTCACTCTTGATACATCTGAACGTGAGCATGGAAAGTGCGTATGCCACATTTTTGGTGAATGCACCCTTTACACATGAGGCCCCTGGTGGATTGGTGGACGGTCGTCACGGAGCGTAGCAAAAAGCTGAACTCAAAAAGTCTAACATCAAGTTTGTGATGAACTTTACCAATTCCAGGAGTGCCTCTCTACTATAACGCATCATTGTGCTGGTCTGGTGTGCTTTTCTAATAAATAGCATTACTATTTATTGTCCATGTCTGTGTTGTATTACATTTAGAATTTTGGATTGTGGTGTTTGAAAATGAAAGCAGACATTTTTTGAGCATACCTAAACGTATATCACCAGCACTGTAATTTTGAACTAGTTGTATACAAAAAGGTGAAAAAAGAAAGTCAAATACCCGAGTCCATAAGAAAAGTACTTGAGAAATGCACGATTATCAACACAAAAGTACCCCAGTTAAAATACATTCCAACAGAAATATTCAAGGAAAATCATGTGCATCCAAATGTAAGATAGAGTGTGATGATCATTGCTAGATTAACCAGACCACAGACCATAGATGCCTATATATGTGTGTGTGTGTCTCTTATCTTAGAGCTGTTGATCAACAACTCTATGTCAAGCTACAGAAGCAGCCGAGCTCTGCCAAAAGGTACCTGTTTACCCTTCAGAATTAAAGTTTTTAATCACTCTGGAAAGTACATGGGAAACAACAATAATCACCTCGAGGCATCAACCAAATCGCACTGAAAGTTTAAATCTAATTTGTTTTACAAATTAAACATAATTAAGAAGTAAGAAGTTCCAAATAAATTTATTAACAGTCCCTGCTAGAATGTAAAATGGCCATACTTGCAAAAAGGAAAGGCTAATGTGCTGAGCACACTTTGACATAGTAACAGGTGAAACTGAAGCTGGTTGATGTTGCTGCACAACCAATCAAAACACTAGACTGAGTAAACTACCCCTTGAAACATAGGATTTATACACCAATTAGCCAGAATATTAAAATCACCTGCCTGTGTAAGCTCACCCTCATGCTGCCAAAAACAGTTCTGGCCTGTTGGTGCACAGACACAGGACCTTGTATGGGCATTCTGTTGTTTCTGGCACCAGAATCTGGAAAGTTGATCCTTTGGCTTTGGTGTATCCTGTGTATGCTAGATTGAATTCGAATGCGCAGCGCTAGGAGGCTGGATTAATGCTTTAGGCTCTTTGTTGTGTTCCCTGAGCCCTTTCTGAGCAGTTTTTGAAGTGTGATGTACTACATTGACCTGCTGGGGAAGGCCGCTGTTGATGGGGAGTGCTGTTGCAGTGAGGTAGTTGTGCTTAGTCTCTAACAATGTTTAAGTGGGTGTTATGTGTCAAAGTAACATCCACATGAATATCAGAACCCAAGGTTTTCCAGCAGAACATTGCATTGTAACAAGATGATCAGTGTCATTGGTCTTTTTGATATTGTGGCTGATTGGTGTATGATCAGAAGCTGTCATGCATCTTTTAACAAGGTTATACCTGACAGTTTGAAACCCATGTAAATATCACACGTAATGTATCCACGACACAAGTTTACATACTGGCCATGCTTAGGTTGCACATTCATTTACACATTTACATGAGCCCCTGCAGTTTGCATACCAGGAGAATGTTGGAGTGGACGCTGCGGTCCTCCACATACTTCAGCGGGTCTATTCTCACTTGAATGAACTGGGTGGATTGGTGAGGATCATGTTCTTCAACTTCTCAAAAGCATTTGACACAGTTCAACCCCTAATACTTTGAAACAAGCTTGAAACAATGGGGATTGATTCCTGCCACACCTCCTTGGATTAGGGACTATCTTACAGGTCCACCACAGTAACAGCAACACTGGTGTTCCTTAAGGACTGTTCTGGCTCCATTCCTGTTTACTCTGTGCATTGCGGATGTTAAGTACAGATTTGAGTTGTGACACATTCAGAAATCATCCAATGATACAGTGAGCTGCAAGGTGGCTCGGTGGTTAGCACCATCGCCTCACAGCTAGAAGATCCCTGGTTCGTGTCCTGGGTTAGAACACCTGGGATCTTTCTGTGTGGAGTTTGCATGTTCTCCCCATGCAGAGTGGGTTCTCTCCAGGTTCTCTGGCTTCCTCCCACAGTCCAAAAACATGTTAAGGCATTGGTGATTCTAAATTGTCAATAGGTATGAATGTGAGTGTGCATGATTGTCTGTCTCTCAGGCTATGTTCAGACTGCAGGACGTAATGGTCAATTCAGATTTATTTGTGAAATTTGATTTTTTGTGAGTTTGTTCACATTTCCAATTAAATGCGACCTGTATGTGTTGTCCTGTGTGAACTTCATACGACCCAGAAGTGTCCCACATGCGCAGAAGAGGACACGACGATGTCACACGCAGCGAGCGTGCTCAGTGTTTGCAGAAGTAAACACGGATGGTAGAAACAGAACTGTGACCGTTATCCAAAACTGGCATCAGCAGCCAAGTACTGCCTGTGCATTCCAGTCACTTCCACCCCATCGGAACGCACCCCCTGGGTGGAAGTGGCTGGAACACCCCCCACCCCGACCAGGCAGAATATTCAGATATTCATCACTAATTGGGCCCGAAATATCCAGAGACCAGAAAGTGCTATTCGGACCAGCCCTAGTTTGTCGTGTATCAATGATATGTAGGTCGGATAAATACAACCTGGCCGTTCAGGCAGAAGTTGCATGGCGAAAGATCAGATACCAATCGGATTTAGGACCACATATGCAGTGAAATGAATTTAATCAATTGAATCTAACACCACTTAATCCTCACTAGGGTCGCGGGGGGGCTGGAGCCTATCCCAGCTGACTCAGGGTGAAGGCAGGGGACACCCTGGACAGGTTGCCAGTCTATCACAGGGCTACACTTAGAGACAGACAGCCAAGCACACTCACATTCACACCTACGCACAATTTAGAATCACCAATTAACCTCAACATGTTTTTGGAGGGGCTGCAAGGTGGCGCAGTTGGTAGCACTGTTGC